TTGGATTTTGAAAGAACATCAGTATTTTTCTGATTTAAAATTATTTACTATTACTGCATGTGATGGAATAAAATTAACTATTTTGGGATATTGTAACTTTCAGATCTTACATATAGGTCTTAATTGATGGATAAACCGAAGAGGGAAAGGTGACAAGAGGAGTGGGTGGAAGAGAAGGCTTTTTTTACTTTAACTCCTTGCTGGCAGCTTAACTTCCAGTGAGCTAGTCATTGGATTGAAATAGAATATTCTGAGGAAAGGACAAATAATGCACAATCAAAAGTATCCCCCAAATTCTAGTTTTGACTGCCAAACTAGCAATTTTAACCATTTCTATGATTTACGTCTTTAAAATATAGGTGTCTTTCAGTAAATTACAATTTTGTTGTAAGTAACTTACGCCTCCTGGAGAGGCTGTTGGAAATAATTTTTCTTTTCTGGAAAGAACTTAATGAAATAAACCACTCTAGAAGGGAGTAATGAATTCTAGTAAGAGATACAGAAATGTCTTTACTTATTTTGACAGATATAAAGTCTGCTAAGAACAGAATTCAGTTTCCATGTTAATGAAAACAGGTGAGAATCAATAGCACTGTGAATTACATTTTGCTCTACACACACGACCTAGATAAAGTGCTAATTAAGTTACTGATTTTAATGTGCAAGTTTAAGTTTATGGGGTAAGTGTTCTTTTTGTTTGATAAGGCATTTTTTTGATGCTGTGTCTTAGCGTTATTTTGGTCACCATTCCTTAGCTGAAAGGTGAGTGAATAGTCCTATATTAATTGGGAGTACATCTCCTGGCGACAAACACTTGAAGAAAACTGTATCGTCTGTCGTCTTAATATTTCTGTTGATATCTTCGTTTTTCCTTTTCTAAAATATTCCATGCCATATTTATTCCATTTTTTTGACAGTTTTTTTTACCATGAATACTGCATCATTTGGAGACAAGAGTTTTAATTTTCTTCGGGCTGCTGCAATTGCAAGGACTGTTTCCGGGGAAAAAAATAGTATTGATTTGCCAGTTAAAAAGAAACAGTTTTATAACTACTTGTATTTTTATTTTCCGTGTGAGGAGGGAATTGCGTCTGATACATTCTCCTGTATCAATTCTTAGGTGTCTTTTCAAAACAGTTAGTTTCATGGTTTTATAGAGCGAACTTAAAAATACACTAATATATTTTAAAAACCCAGAAGAATCATCTTGGCAGTTCTCTGTATACTTAGACTACTGATATCAATGGTGATTGAGGTGTAAGAACGTTGAGCATTATATACCTCAAGTGCTCAAGAAACCTTTTTCTAATACTTGTAAAAAGGGGAGAATCCATATTATATTAAATGTACAATATATATGTAATTTGAAAACTGGGTGTATTCAATATTTTTGTGTAGATCTACTTTTTATAGTTGACATTAAAAGGAGTTCGAATTATGAGGAAATCTCATTTTCAATGCTTGTATCTAAAGTAATTAGCAAGTATAATGCTATGGTTGCCATCGTAGTAGTTTTTCGAAAAGCAGATTACTCAGATGAATCAAACCTTCTTGAGGTTTGTTTACTTTAGTGAGTTCTGAAGTATTTTACAAGAATCCTGCAACAGAAGTAATTTGCAAAGCTTTCTTTTGAGTTGTGTAAAGAATTATCCTTTTACAATAGGATAGTCTTTGTTTCCTTTTGTTTTTTGGTTTTGGGTTTGTGGTTTTTTTTTTTAATCTTCCTGAAGCTTAAATTACACTTTACTACACATTCTTTGTCTTATGGTTTCTTTTCCCCCTGTAATTGCATATCATCCATTTTTATTGTTCTCTTCCAGTTTAAGTTGTTTTCCCAGGTACCAGGTGACTTCAGAGGTTCTTAATCGCCTCCCTACATATTTCTCTAGTAAAAGTTTAGCCCTCCTCTCTTGCTGCTCAATTTTAACTCCCTGTTATGGGTAGTTATGGGTGGCTTCAGGGAACGGGCTGAAGCAGGCTGCTACTCAACAGAAGAATGGGCAGTCGCATAGTGAGGAAAAGAAGCTCTGAGAAGATAACGCTATCATTTTTATGTTCTGCAAAGGGCTTGAGTATCCAAGAATGAAGCTCTCAGGTGGGCTGGAATATCACCCAGCACTGGTTCGGCTACTCTGTCATAACTGCCTGTTGGTATTCTTTTCTCTGTCTTATTTTGGGCAAAACCCATGGAATAGTTGACCTAAGTTACCTGCAATAACTTGTTTATGCTCACATAGTAAATAGCTGTCTAGGGCATGATTTGTGGGGATACGACTGAATTTTTATCATCAGCTGGACTCCTGCAAATACAAGTTTTGGCAAATTATCTAAGTACGTGTTTTCATAGTTAATATGTCAAGCATTTAATTACATTAATGATATATGCTGTCAGTTAACATTTGAAATGGAGTATTTTCTCTGACAGGATTTATCTTAAATTTGCTAATTCCATGTTAACTGTATAGAAGAATTTCCTTGTGCTGAAAATTCAAAAGAACATGACAAGTTGTGAACATGCAACAGTAGGAATAATAATAATTCTTGTAGGCATGTTGATTGGTTAACAGACAGCAGAGATCATAAGGCACATTTATGGCTCTTGAGTCTATAGCTGAAATGGTTTTTATATGGTAATACTTCAACACCAAAGTTAAAGCTACAAAATGGCAAATGATTTCTTCACGTTTTTTGTTACAAAGGTTAGACTAGACTAAAAAAAAGTAAAAATTACAGGTTCTAACCCTCTCTTTTGTTGTACTTACTGTTAACTGAAGACTGGTAGCATTTCAAGCTGAGAAAAAACTGGTTTATTGCTAGGAGAAAGTGTAGCGTGCTTTTTAAAAAAAGTGTATGTTACAGCTTGCCAGTGCTTCTATCCTTTGCAGAGAAAATGAGTTAAGTTCTAGTAACTAGTACAGCTTTATAGCGCTGTACTTAAATCCTTATCTAGCTGGTATTGTACTCAGCCCTGCCTTATATGGCACATTTCACATTTGAAAAAACCAAACCACCAGCTTGCAGTTGAACTTGATGAGATGCATCAAGTAAGTATGTGCAGTAATTCAAAATCTGGTGCTTTCCCTTGTAGCTAAAGAGTATCTCACAGCTGTTTGTGGCATGTCCTGTTTACACACATGTACATACACAAGCACGTGTGCACGCACAGTCTGATCGATGTAAACTGATAGCCATGGAGTTTTTCTACCATGTTGGGCTACGGATTGACATTAGGGATGATATAGCACTTTTCCTTCTGCTTCTTCATGTCAGGGCTGAGGTGTAAAAGCAGACTAGTATCAACAAGGTTGTATGCTGATTTTGTGACTAGTTCACTGGTATCAATTTGTGGGTATGATTGATCCTAATAGGGCTGCTGATTTTACTTAAAATGTCAGTTGACATTACTGTGAAAGGTCTGACGAAGTAGTTGCATGTTCTGTTACAAAGATTTAATGTGGGTTCTAGGGTCAGAAAAAGAGGTCCTTCTTAGTGTTCATTAACGGCTTTAAAACTGCCTGTGTCTTTTACTTACGAGGCTTTCCTTTTCCTCTCCACACTAAGCCATATTCTTTTGAAAATAGTGTATAATCTTCTTAAGTTCATTGGCTAGATTAGTATGAGTCACTAGAAACAAAGTTATTGACCTGAGAGCCTTTTGTCATGTATCTTACGGTAATTTCCCATACCAGTATATTTTTACGAAACTGTAGACTTTTCTGTCAAATACTGGTGTCTGCTGCTTTAAGCGTGTGAAGATAGAAGACTCATGTTTGGCATCCCAAACATGGTTGAATGAAAAGGAGTTTTGTGAAACCGTAAAAATACTATGAATGTATTTTGATTTGATTAATATTTCAGTTTAAAGGTTGCTTTTAGCAAGACTGATTCAGTTGCCTAGTATATGGAATTGTTTTCAAAGTGCATCTGAACTTATACTCTTAAATCATAAGTGGAATGATTTTCAGAATCAGGTAAATTTTTTTGCATATGCTTATTCTCAGCACATGTGTGTTCACTGGAGTGGAATATACGTTAACATTCTTGCAGAAAATTCATGAGAAAAAAATTTTTGGTGTAAGTTTCATTAGTTTTCGTTTCGAACTGTGAATTTGTTTCTATTTCATCCTTTTGATGTAAACAGTAATACTAAAATCCCTTGGAATTATCTGTGATAGCTGTACTGTGTTTTCCCTGAAGTGATAATTTTTGCCGCTCTGGGTACTCTCTCTTGAGTATTGTTTCACAGCAGGCCGTGGTTCATGATCAGTAATGTCAGAACTCTTTTGCTGTTGGATGACTGAGCATCAATTGAATCTGGATCAATTTGGCGTGTTATTTGTCTATCTAGTATAAATGCATGTTATATAGTTTATGTTGATACTACATTTTTATGCTGGTTTCAAAAGGATGGTCAGTATCTGAACTGACATAGCAATAGCATGATACAATTTATCAAAAAATGTACCACCACCAAGTTAAGTCAAAACTATTTGAACAAAGATGAACTGGCAGGTTGAGTTTATATACCATAATATAACACATCAGAGGTTGGTTTCCAGTCAACTTGGTTTTTGAGTCGTGAATCCAGATTGACTGTATTATTGAACCACGGCCTTCAGTAATACTGTAATAAGACCTCTTTATTTACAGTTAAAATGTACATATGCTGCTTATTATTAATGAAAAACACGGAGAGAAGATGGATTCATTTGCAGTTGATCACATAACTATTTGGGAACTTTAGACTGCTGCATCTGATAAATTAAACTTATGATATTTAACCTTTAGCATTATGCAAAAATGTACAGCATTGCTATATTGAACTTATTACTCCATTTTATTTTATAAAAATGGGAGTATAGTTAACTTCATTCCTTATACATTTTTGTAATCAATGGAAACTTTTGAAACTTGAAAATTTTTATTTTCATGGAGTAAATGGGAATGTTTTAAATTCTAAGAATTGATAGGTTGACCATGAAAACTATGTTTACTTTCAGAGAGAACAGGAAATGAGAATGGGTGATATGGGTCCTCGTGGAGCAATAAACATGGGAGGTAGGGATCTGAAGGAAAAAGGCTTCTGTAATGTAAAATTTCTTTTTCTTTGGGACTGTACATGTTACTCAAGCACTATTAATTAATGACAACTACTGGTAAAAAGGAGTAAACAGTATTAGGAAATAAAAAAAAATCCTCACATATTTTGCTTCCAAACAGTTGTTTTTTTCCCCAGTGTGTGTCTTTATTTTATTGTTTTGACTACCTGTGGGAGAAAAATATGATGTGCAAGTTAAGAGAAACAAAAAGGCAGGGGAAGGTGATGCTCTAGAAATTATCTGATACAAAAGAGGAATTTTCTGTTTGGAAAGTATTTGGCATTCTTTTTGAGGGACTACCTGTTCAGAGAAGTTGGGGCTGTAATTGCATGCAGTGAAATGATGTAGAGCTTAAAATTGGTAAGTTCTTGTTGATGTACCTGACAGAAGATTAATGAATAATGTGGTTGGTATTCTACTAATTTATTGCAAGTCTGTATTTGCAAATATTCTCAGTTCACTTTTGTGACTTAAAATATTGTCACTGCTAAAAACTGTTACTATGAAGTCTAGAAGAGTACATTCTTAATAATTAGTGCTTTCTCCATATATGCAGACTGAAAGAGTTTGAAATCTTACTTAACCAGAATATCTGCTTTTAAACAAGACTGAAACTTAGAATATTTCTTTGGGGGAAAAAAAAAAAATCTTACTGAGCTGTATTAACTGTCAATATTAATCTCTTGGAAGCTTCCTGATGTTCATTTAAAATAAGATTATGATTTTAAGAAAAGTTAATACTATTTTTGCGTATTTTATATTTGAAAGTACATACAAAACTTAGTAAACATTGTCACTTGACCTTTTGAGTAATGTGAATTTATAGACTAATTAATCTGCTTGGTCCAGTTTTTAAAATACATTATTCACCATTACCTTGCATTTATTGAGACACATTTATACCTACAAAATAGAAATAGGCTTTTTCTTTCAGTGAAGATGAAGAGCTTTAAAAATAATTCTAAAGGAAGATATTATGAAGTCATTTACAAATAATAAGCTGAAGCATAAATTGTGACTAAATTTTTTTTTTTATTTATAGTTGTACTTTTGCATATTGTTGCAGTCTACTTGAAAATTCATTTAATTAGGAGACTTTGTAAATATTGATACTGTGGGAAAACTACTAATGCCAGTTGTCCAGATCCACAAGATATACTTTTTACGTACAGATTTTAAATGTGTATTTATAGCAATCAGTTCACAGCCCTTTTCTTGTCAGGTTTTAATGCTTAACAATGACGTTCATCATAATCTTGCTTTGTAAGCTTTGGGCTATAACTTTTGATTTTAAAATTGATACAAATGCTTTTAGAAATAAATGTGTAGTTCCAAAAGAAGTTATAGTAACAGTGAACTAGTATTTTAAAAAGGGAAAAATATCCATAGTGAATAGGTAAAGATAGTGTTTATTTCCACAATATCTGGATTTAAGGTTAGCTCACTGTAGAGATTTTTTTTTTCCTCCAGCCCATTAACAACCCTACCACTACAACCAGAAAAACCCAACCCCCAAAACCCGCAGTAGACCTTTAAATAGTAGAACTTTAATTGTTGATCTTAGCATTCTTTCTCAACATTTCTGTTGGAATTGTAACTTTATTTTTAACTGGCCTTTACCTGTGCCATTTGCGACTTTTCATCTTATGGAACAGTGGGGAGCTGGAGTATCTTCAGTAATGGAAATACCTGCATGATAGCGTTATTAGAAAGCAAGGTACCTCTGTGACGGATTTAATTAGCGTTGGGCTGATTTGTGCAGTACCACTCATTTTTACATTGTTTTCTGTGGCAAACAAGTTCTGAGACAATCTATATGCCTCATTATAGCACTTAGCTGGATCTGTAATGCCAGGTGCAGCTGATAAACTTTTCAATATGGGGGGAAAAAAAGGCTTTTTTGGGAACTATCTCTGTATTGATGATTATTGACTGTGGCTTGTTGCCAGCTGTGCTAGTTTGGACACTTAGAGTGTACTTTTTCAGCCCTCCGGATTGCCGAAAAAGACATTTTTTTAGTGTCTGTGCATTGTGGCATGAACACTGATGACTGTTTTCCATCTCTTGCTGAACCTGGTCAAGTGAATTAACTGCTAACATCAGTGTCCCACCAGAAAGAATGGGCAATCAAGTGGTTAGCTCTCAGGGTCTGCTTTGGAGCTAGGAGGACCTATGAGGTATAGCTAAAGCGCCATAGTGGCCTCTTGCTGAAACTGTGGAGGACTCCACTCTCGCCTTGCATTAGGCTCCCCAGTTGTCTTCCTGTCACAGCTGACTCTGCCTGAAAGTGGCTTAATAATATAGAGGTTTGGTAGTGTAGGTCACTATACGTCACCCTGGAAGCAATATGGGTGTATTTGTATGATACAGAGGATAAGAACTTTGTTGCAGTTGAAAGATAAGCAAATGTTACCTGAGTGTGGCCAGCTGCCTAAGTTTAGTTAGGCTGGTAAGCAAGCCAGTAACAGATAATTAAACATTGGCTGCTTTTGGTTAATGGCACTAGTACTGGCACTAAGCACTGCCATCACGATAGTCCTGCAGTGTACTTCTAGCCTCTGAAAATAAAGGTTTCTCCTTATATTGGCAGTTTAGACTTCTCTGTTTCTTTCCATATTTAGTCACTGAATGGATGACGCTAAAAAACAGTTTTAGGGTATATTCAATGGTAATTCTCTTGAACTGTAGCACAATCTTCTACCTGCTACATGAACGGATCATGCTTGTGGGTAGGTAAGAAGCATCTGACTTGGGCATTCCTTTGTTTTGTCTCAGTGTCATAGGGAGAGGTTTTCGGAGTTTCTCATTACTAAGCTTAAATGAGTTCTGCTTTCCAAAAATTACAGGATTTTTCTCTATCGCTTCTAATAAACTTGTGTAGCACTTTACGTGTGCTACTGTGTTGCATGGGTTGTTTTTGCTAAGCAGCTTGCAGTTGGTATAATGTATATGATCACGCCCAGGTCTGCAATTTTAGCAGCAATATCTTGGATGCAGTGGTTTCACTGACTGCTGTCATATGTGTACTCAGGGCAGGTAATAAAGATGCAAGTTTGCATACTTGCAGATAGTCATAGTACTGTATCTGTGCTAAATGGCCTGCTTACAATGATGTACATCTATGTATTCATTACTAAAGAAGTTACAGTTGTGATGAGAGGTGAGAGGTTGATTTTTTTAAATAACGAGTTTATTAGTCTAGCAACATGTCAGATTTCTTGATATTCTTGTATGTTGTCATGACTTAAAACATAGGCTGGATTCCAAAGGCATGTCTTCTTTCATTATTAAATTTTGCATGCACGCTTTTGGCTGAAAAGGTGGATTATCATTGTGGGGGGAGAAAAATGCATCACCACCAGTCTTAAAGTTGATGATATTTTATAATAGCAGACATAAATGATATATAATCACACGTTTTTCTTTCTTACAACAACAGGAGATAATGTTCTGAAGGTATTTTTACCTACCTGTTGAGTTTGTTAGTGGGTACTGGCAGAGTGGTGTTTCCTAGCTCAATATTACAGCTAAATGATCTCCTCCAAAGATGTCTTTAAGCTCTTCTGCCTCTTACTGTGAATCAGACTTTTGGAGGAGACTGTTCTGTCACTTTCAATTCTAACAAAACTTCCCTTAGTTTTCTGGTACTTTTACTATAATAAATTGCATTTAAATGCAAGATTTATTCATGCCATATTACAAATAACTTACTGTAAAGCTGAGTACTATCTTTCGTGTTGCTTTTAGATGTTGGACTAGTATACTGTAACACTATATACAGTTAACATAATACTGGTAGAACAGTTCTTGCAAATTTATATTTAATATGTTATGATCCCTAAAGAGCCAAGTTGCCTTATAGCTGCCAATTACTGCAAAATCACTTGAGATTTTTGCTAATTTGTGGTGTGTATACTGCATATATATGCTATAGGAACACTTCAATTCCTGCACGGAAACCGTACAGCTACATTTAGCTGTAAAGTTCACGATTTTCAAATACACAAGGCAGATCATGTAATGCAAAATAATAGGGATTAAAGAAAATCTGTTTAAAAGCAGATGATTGAGATAAATGTACAGTCTCAAAGAATAATTTTTTTTTTTATTTCAAGTATTGGAAGTCTTGTACATTTGGCTTTTTAAATATTGTAAATTGTTTGTTTATTCTTGTAAAATTCAGATAGGACAGCTCTAAGTATAGATTGTTTTGCATAGATGCGTTTAGCCCAGCACCTGCTGGTAACCAAGGCCCTCCTCCAATGATGGGTATGAATATGAACAACAGAGGAACTTTACCTGGCCCTGCAATGGGTCCTGGTCCTTCCATGGGACCAGAAGGAGCTGCAAATATGGGAACACCAATGATGCCAGATAATGGAACAGTGGTAACGTATCACAAATTTAATTACTTTGAATAGCTGTCATGTCTCATGGCCCTTTTTTGTTACCAAAGATATTTTCACACTGATTAAGAACATGTTACATGTTTTGAATATGTTAAAAGTAATTGATAAAACTTGTTCATGCAAATAATTTACAACACAGAAGGGAAATATTTATTTGATATTACTATGAAAATCCTGCTTCCCTTAAGAATGGGATGAGTTCTTTGATCAGTAACCAGACTTTAAATTGAGGTTAGAATGTATAGCACTTGTGGCAAAACTTTGCATGTATGACCTGTCATGAAAAACCACTGATAGAAAGAAATCACTTCTGTGAAAGGAAAAAGGAACAACATACCAGAGTAATCTGTAAATTTAGGCATTTGCTGTTTTTTCTTTTGTGAAACTAAATTCTATGTATTAGCTTGTTGGGGTTTTTGATTAACAGTTCAATGTTGGAAGCTATGTAGTGTGAAGATATCTTTGTGTAAACTATTTAATTTTTTAAAGCAACTTTAGTGTGTTTTGTATTTCCTTTCTAACAGTGTTGAAAGCATGAGATTATGACAGTAATTATGCCACTTAAAAAATAAGTATGCCAACAGCTGTTAGGGATAACTGTCATATCAACACAGGCGAAATAATATTGCCCGGTTGCCAGGGGATGTAGGGAATGTCTTGTATACATCTGGAATTTTTTATCAAAAGCAGATATGCCATTGGGATGCAGTTAAAGCACTAGCCATTTTTGCTCTGTTCTCATAGCCAGTCACTTTCCTAGCTGTAATGTCTTACGTAGAGAAACAACTATAATTTTCAATCTGATTTTTACATATTTTTCAGTATTTTTCTGTAAATAGATATTTGGGATGTTCTAGTGATGATACGATATAAAGGAGTATAAACAGGGATTCCATTATAGTTTTATTGGAACACAGAAGCATTTTGTAGCTGTATTTTTTTATATATGCCTTCTCATCTGCGATTGAGCGATCTGAATAATGAAGTTTGGACAAAGTCCTTTGTTCCTTAGAGGAAAATGAGATTTTGATTGAGCACAAAATACATAATGAGTCTGGCCTTTACCAGCTAAAGGAGAGGATCTCACTTCACATCATAGGAGCCAGCTTATTTTATCAGTTGTATCATTTCTCACAAAGCGTAGGGATGCTTTTCACAAAATACTGTTTTCAGAGATGCTTTTGCTGGAGACCAGTGTGTTACTGGTCACCTCTGGAACATTCTGTTGTGATTATATGGACACTGAAAAAGAGGTGTAAGGAAAAGAATATGATACTGTAAATCAGGGTATCTATCTCAAACTGTTGTTTTTCTACAAAAAGTCATTCCAGGTATGGAAATGTAGGGGACATACTGACACTTCAAAATGCATGTTTTAAAAAAATTTTTTTTTTTACTTCCATTTTCTTCTGCATGCTACTGAAGGACAAATTAGATGCTTTTTTTTTTTCCCTTCATTTTGGACTTTCAAGGTTTTTAATTTGGGGACAAGCCCCTACAGAAAGGCATAGATAGCCTCATGGTATTTTTGCTGCTGTTGGAAAGACACTTTAAAGATCCTTTGAGGGCTGTCTACTAAAACACTGTAAGAGTTAATTTCAGTTTCCACTGAGAGAAATGGAGAATATGCTTTATAGATCAGAAGTGCAGTTTTCATTTTTTAAATTGAAAATTAAAAGACTTTTTCTGAAGTCTTTTAGGGGAAAGTTGAAGCAATCTTCTTTTTGTTCCACTGCAGTCTTTTGAAACATAGATTATCTTTGAACATAACATTTTAAAAATAGCTTTTCCCCCCCCATACTTTATTGTAGGTAGGTAATTACTGCAGTTTTCTCGTTAGCTGGAGAGGGGGGTCCTTGTTGGAAAGAGGACTTAACTTTTTGTCCAAAAGTCAAATGGTAAAAATTATGAGGAGTATGTGATAAGCTATTTGTTGAAATTAATATCCATTGCTAACAAGCTGGCATGAGTTAAAGATTATTTTTTTAACAATTTTTAACCAGTGCTGCAGATTTTAAGGTACTTTGGGGCAGTAGTAGATCTTTATGCAGTGTTGAAGTAACTTTTTTCTTACTCAATGTCAAATTTTAAACAACGCGCATATATACAACCATGATCTAAGTTGCATAAATTTTTATCTATATACATATAATGCTGTTTTTAAATAACATATATATGAATTAGCAGACTTTAGAACTGTTGAGCTCTACTACTATTATTGGACTTAGACTTTCAGAAGAATTCTTCTCTGATCCAGGCATGTAAATAAAGTGCTACTCTTGAATGTTCTTGTTAAACTCTGAATACTTGGACATTAATGTAGATCTCTGTACAGAAGGAATTTCTTCTGAAAGTGTAACTGTCCTGAACAGGTAAACGATGAGTTATTTCAAGATCTGATTGTACCATATATGTATGCTTTTAATGGTTTATGTTATGTTGAGTTAATGCTTTAAATTTCATCATGTGGTTCTGGTTTTAAACACTTGCATAACTACTGAACTATAAGTGCTCAGATGCATGTTTTCTGTTTTAGGTCTTAATTGCTATAGCCAAATAAATCTGTGTAAGCACATATGCCTTTATTAATATTAGGCACAGAACTAAGGAAAATAAATGTGGAACGTTAACTGGATTTTCATCTTATCTTGATATTTCAGGTTAAGCTATAGATCTATATATCAAATTTTTTTTTTAAACTAAGCATTGTCCGGTTATGCATTTTATCACTAGTTGTGTTAGTTTATTTGGACTGGATTTTAAGTCTAACTAAAGATTCCTGAAGTGCCGTACAAAAGGCTGACTCAGGTAGTATGGACTGAAATACGCTTTATCCACAGATATGTGGGTTTATAAGTCTTCAGGTTATATTGCTATTAAAAGAATAAACCTGCAGTCTCTAGAAATACAAAAGTTGATTTTTTTTTTCCCTAGTTTGACAATATTTCTGTGTCTAATTTAAGGGAAGCATTGTAGTTGGTATGTAAGGCAGAATAGGGCTCAGGTATAATATTACTGTTTGCTGTCTCTTCTGTTTCATAGAGAATACGTATTGCTTCAGATGTGTTTGAAAGGATGAAGTTACATTCAGCACCAGAGTTGGTCTTAATACTTAAGTTTTTAATTTTTAATTTACTTTACAAAGTTGGAGCATAACATTAGCACTCTTTAATTTCCAGCTCTTTTTCCATAATAACTAATTTAATTGCTCCTTTCTTCCCTCTATGTGTGATCCTGATTCTGCTGGACTATCTGCTGAACTTCATGACAACATCACTTGTGGTTTTTGTTGTAACTCACATTTGGCATGTTCCAAATGGACTTGTATTAGCATAATGAGAGATTCCCTCAAGGAGGTCCATCACAGATGGGTTCACCTCTGGTTAGTAGAACGGGCTCTGAAACTCCTCAGCCGCCAATGAGTGGTGTAGGTGCCGTGAGTGGTGGACCTGGTGGCTTTGGTAGAGGAAACCCAGGGGGCAACTTTGAAGGACCTAACAAGCGTCGCAGATACTAAAACTTATTTCATTCCAGTAAAACTATACAGTGATATGCCTCTATAATTTTAGCTGTTACCTGGAAACGGTTTTATTGTTATTGTAGTCTAAAACAGTTTCTTTTGTAAAACTTTTTTTGTATTCAGTCATAGGCTTTGTAGTATAGAGCAGAAATTATGCGGATCATTATGTAAGGCAATGTGTTTGTGACTAGCAAAATACAATGTTTGACTATGCTGTAAAACATGCAGTTATCTGATTACAATAAAATATAAAAATCACTTGAAAGGATTTTGGGAATGTTATTACTAATACTGGGTGAGAATAATTTTATGCTTAATTATAAGTGGCATCATTTTCATTCTTATGTAGTTTCTACTATGTGTCAAGAAAGTTCCATTCTTAATAGTGAACCTGTTTAGCTAAACTGCATTTGTGGTACGTACTATGAACAATTTACGACACAACTGCTTTTGTTTGTTTCGACTTTTGAAGAGCATCAAATTTTATACAAAGTGTTCTCAAGGATACTGTGTCCTTCCATCTTGGTCTCCCTTTGCAAACTTAGTCACAATAGGCTTATAAACAGAGTATATCCGTTACTCACATTATTGGAAAATTTAACTTGGGGGAAGAAAACACTCTGGAAAAGGAATCTGTATATATGCTTTATTCATAACAGTATGAATGAATTTACCTTAACCATACTTCTACAGAAGAAAAGTTGTTGTGACATCTGTGTGTTCTACTGATCATTAAAGTATCTTGCCATTGCAAGGAAGGAGACACTTGTGCAAGCTGGTGTAAAGCCTTCCACTATATAATGCATCATTTTAAGTATACATTTCCCGCAATGGTTTGTTTGAATAGAAACAAGTCTGTTATCAATGATTAACTGTTTAATTAGGAGGCAAATACACGTTTTCCAGTTAAAATAATTGTTCACTTAGAGTAATATGCATTTAGAAGGATTGCACATGCGTATTCTTGATAAATGTTTCATAGAATGATGAATTTGAAAAATGGGTATTTCCAACACAACTCAGGCTATACTTCCTGATTGAGTCTTAAGAGAAAACTGATGATAAAGCTATTAGGAAGCTTATTATGATTCAGATTTTGTCAGTCATGAAGGATGATGGAAAAGACCTATTGGTTCTATTCCTGTAATGGCAAGAAAGTAGGGATATTTTTGGTTACTATTGCTTTTTTCCTGTGCAAAATAGTTGTAAAATATTAGTGTTCGGTTTTTATCAGCTCACTCACGTTTTCAGAAGTAGAAATTACTAAAATTTATGTGCATGAATACTGATACTAAATTGTTTAAAAACCTGATTTGAGATAACGTAGTGCCCTAATTATATCGAAATGGTATGTACGTAAGTCAAAGCATGGGATGCAAGCAGCAGACAGAGCATGTATGTGCTACTTCTTAATGTAGCAGTGATGGTCTTGGTGAATTGAATTGTGAGCAAATGGGTAACAGGGAAATTGCAGCATTGCTGGCATTTTGGAAGTATGCTGTTATTTAAAATGCCAGTGTTATATGGCTTAAGATAGAGATTGTTTTCATACAATTCAGGAGTTATCACGTGTAGGTCCTCACTTGTGACATCTGTAACTACTAAGTATTTTCCTCTAGACTGTCTTTAATGCTGCCCTTTTTTGCTCGACTTGAAATACGTGCTACACTTTATAATGCAGTAGTGAGTTAGGTTTAAAGTCTGAAATGCTTTCCCCTACTTGATACATGTATCACGTTACAGCACTCATTCGTCCAAAAAAACCTTGCAGTTTGTTTTACTTAGCATGCTATTCCTAAAACTCAACATTTGGGAAAATTGCTGTTTTTCTACTAGGTGTAAACTAGTGTTTGCATATAGCAGCTACTTAAGCTCTCTGCTTTGGTGTACTGCATTCAGTTGAAAGCGCAGTTTACATCGGTGTCTAGTAAAGTGTCTAAATATTAGATTACTTTTGTCTCATCTTTTCTGCCCTTGCACATGGCATTTTTTATGGGAATTGAGAACTGGTGTGAGTTGGTAATTCTAAACTGTAAAGCTGTAAGGGGTACATGTTTTAAATATAACTTGAACTAGATTCAAGAGGTCTGTTCAGTTTTTCAAAGGAAAAGGCTGTGTCATTCAGGCCTTTTGGCTAACTCTTATATTTAGATAATATACACCCTCATCCTTGTAGTATCTGAGTATGTTTCAGAAGTACATGAAACATACCAAATCTGCAAAAAGTGGTTCATTCTTTCCTTGCCAGCCCCATGCTATTTTAAGTGCGTGTTTGTTGCACTGCATTTTTGCTAGCAAGCAGAGGTATGTATGTATGTGAAAGTCATTGTAGATTTTAATTAATAATAGTGATTTTCATTCCACAGTTGTGAACTACTGTTCCTGTAAAACTCTGACTTGAATGGCTCTGCTGCATGGTAGCAGTGGATTTGTTTGCTGTCCTTATTGCAGAAAATCATCTAGTGTTTTTCTAAGTATCCATGAACCAAGCCTTTCACTCCTAAAAAATAAACACTGAAATGTTGAATTTGGGCACACATTAAAGATTGCACGAAGAATTACTTTTGTAGCTGATGACAGGCTGCCAAATTCTGCTCTTAATAAAAGCTTTCTTAAGGCTGCCTGTCCATGTTGGTTGTATACAGCTTAACTGTAAAGGCAATGATTTTTGTTTTGCCATATGTGGTAGTAACTGACTCTAGCTATATGATAAACACATAATTTTGTTAGAAAAGGCATGGTCCCAATTTGTTTCCTAAAAATGGTATGTAGATATGGCCAAGCAGCGTTTTTGTTTGAAGGTACTGCCCATGTGCTGGAAGCGATTAATTTTTCTTGTTCCTCATCTAGCTGATCGGTTTATAATTTTTTCTGTGTACACAGGTACTTAAGTTTTTAACTATCTTTGGTCTGTTTGACTAGAAAGCACAGTAAAGTCCTGACTCTTTCTGCTATATGCTGTGGTAAAAGAAATAAGCTTGGAAAGGTTATGAATTTGACAACTACAATGCGCTTACTTTTGGTTGTACTTACTGAGTTTTTACATTATTCCTGAAATTTCAGTCTGAACTGCTTAATTTTCATGTGAGATACAATTTTAATACTTAAAGATAGCAAAGCTTTACTATTCCATTTAAGTAAAATAAAACACAACACCACCAGAATCTAGCTTGGCTAACTGCATTTGTATTTATCACCTCAGTCAAGGTGAAGGGGAGCTATTGGGAACTTAAAAAAATAAAATTAATTTTGGTTGTGAGTTAATTTCTTTGTAGTTCTGTCCAGTGTGCTCATTAGATAAAGCACATTGATATCTCGGGAAACTTGGTGGCGATTCAAATATACTTAACTCTATTTATTTCCTAAGAAAAATACAAATTACTGAGGATTACCTAGAAAGAAAATTTCTGACCTTAAGTTGTTTTATTTATTGTCCACATCTATTTTTTCCAATTGGACATAAAGATACAATAAACTGGAGACTTTTATTAGAAAAAAAGGTTAACATAGATGGCAAGAAGACAATATGAACTAAATCTTATGTTAATTTAGTTTTAAGCATCATCCAATAGGATTTTATAATACGCATTCTTTGAGGAGCATTCTGATCTGAAGTATACTGTCATATTGTAAAATGTTGTACCAAACTAATTTTCCCCCTTTTCCACTTTTGATTTCAGATTTTTTTAACTTGAAAAATAGAATAATCCATAATTACAAATTCTTTTGAAAGGTGCTAAATACGAATGCATTGACTTTTATGAAATACTGATTGTTAAATCGTCACAATCTGCCTTGAGATAAGTTGGCTCAAAAATGCTGAAATAACTGATCTAAAGGAAGATTCTCAAGTGAAAAACAAAACCCTTTAGGCCTTTCAAAGGGAGAATATGCTTTGAGGTGAGATGTTCAGCAAATGAGTGGTGTGCTCTGATGGCACGGTACTCATTTTACTTAAGCATGTTGTGGAAACTAATTTTTTGGCATACTTCTTAATGCATAATTTTTTGTATAACAAGTTGGATCATAATTTTTCCCTTCTCAGTGAAGACAGTCAAAATAAATTGTAATTGAACTATTAAATGGCAGGGAAGGATGGGTAACAACTGGTGGGGCCAGTTTACATTGGACCGCAAATGTGAATGGATTCTCAATTCATTTCCTGAGACTTGAAGTGGTGCATATCCATAGGTGGTTTTACAGAGTCTGCATCCAACATCTCTTGTTAGCTTGTGCTTGGGGCCAAGACTGGAGGACTTGAGAGAGCATATATTTCAAATGCAATTTAATTATCTTCTCAGGAGCCCTGAATTTATTAATTTGGGCACTGTGCTGTCATTAAGATGCAGAACTATCTTGGAATTTGGTGCTTTCCTTGGGCTGTTAGTTCACTTCTAGCATGAAGGAATATCAGTCCAAACTTCCCTGATTCTTGAATAGTGAGGATGGAGTGAGTGTGACCTATGGAAAACACAGAGGTTGGACATTACTCCTTTAGATTATTGGCTCTTCAGTGCTAGTTTAGTGGCTAATGTTGGACTGTATTATCCCAAAAGCATTTACTTTTTTAAAAATACATTCAATGAAATGTGAGAACTTAATAGAGGATGGACTACAAACTTGCAATACTTTGTTCAGGTATAATTTTTCCCATTGGATTGGCTTTTTGTTGCCTTTTGGGATGTACGGTAAAATATACTTAGTCTTAGTAAGTGGTATCACCAATTTGGTGTTTTGCTGTTATGAAGAAATCTGTTTTGTTAATAGTTTTGGGTTTTTCCCCATAAAATATTTTAAAAATCACAGCTGCAAGCATTTCGGTTTGTTTTCACAGTAATCCATGAAATACTAAAGTTTATAAAAATTAAGTTACCCTTGTCTAAAATGTAAGTAGTAGAATAGATAAACTGAAAATTAAGTTTTCATGAAAACAATACTTCTGATGATTTTAAATGCATGGAAACAAGCCCTCAGTGTGTTCGTTTTCAATGGGATAGATTTAATAGGTCTTTTCCATCTTGAACTTCCTTAAGCTACTATGAAAATTAATATAATTGAAATTTGGAGGTATTCATATTAATGACCTCAGCCTGACTTCTAAAAGCAGTAAGAGATGGGTTTCTTCAGAAAAGCAGTTTAGAACAGCAATCATTTTTTCCTAATTGAAGGAACTATTCAGAAAAGTTAAAGTTCAGAGATAAGCATAGCATACTTAGGTAAAACCATTTAAAAAAACTGCTTTCATACAATGATTATTTTATACCCAAA